ATGATTGGCTCGTAAGTTGATCCATACGAGAATTAAGTTATGAAAAGAGTTCTTCCAAGCGAATAGCAATTCCTTGTTGCCCTCTAAAAAGAGCCTGAACTATTTGTTCTAACTGCTCCACTCTTTCGTCCATGCCAGTGCTCTGATACCACTTTGGTATGAACTGTTGTTTTTCCTTATGTGGACCTATGTTGATATATAGTAAGGAAGGAAAAATGAGAAAATAAATTGGTTTAATGGAGGAAACCAAGGCCTCAATGTTTACATTTTTTATTTAATTTGATCATATATATGGCTTATCATTCATCAGCTATAAATAGCAAATACAACTCAACTATTTACAATGAACTAAAAGCCTATGGACTAGAAACTAAATGGCAGAAATATAAGCAACAATTGACACCTGTAGCTAGGCATGGTGGGTTCATTGAACAGCCGGTTTCGATTAACGCAACCGATGGTTTAAAATTTTTAAAATGTTGAACCTGAACCGGCCTTGAACCGCCGGTTCCGGTTCCAGCCAGTCCCGGTATGGTTCCAATGAACCGACGGTTCTGATCACGGTTTCCGGCGATATATGTTTTTTTCAAAAAAAAAAAATCGATTCTAATGTTACATCTTTCTTTCGAAAATATTAATATGAGTTTAAAAATTATTGATAAATTTTTTTTAAATAAATTTTAGAATGCTCATACTCATAAAAAAATAAAATTAGTTAATTTTACGAAATAATCAAATAAATTATCACTTTATTTTGTTTAAATGTTATTAATTAAATAAATTATAAGAAAATTTTGAAAAATGCTTCAAAAGAATGTAATTTTACGAAATAATCAAATAAATTACACTTTAATATTGTTTTAAATGTTATTAATTAAATTAAATTATAAGAAAATTTTGAAAAAATGCTTCAAAGAATTGTAAATTTTAAAACTTACTGAACATGTAAAAGGGTAAAAAAAAGTTACAAAAAATATAAGTTTAGACTAAATATTCTCTCTCTTTTTTACCATTTTACTTTTTAGATTTTTAACTTTTAATTTTAACTTTTAAAGTAAAGTGTATTTAAAAAAAAAAAAATCTTAAGTAAAGTATATCATGTAGTAATATATTATTGAGACTTTTAGAGATGTATAAAATAGACTAAGTAATTATCATTTTCAAAATAAAAATAGAAAATTTCCGGTTCAAACCAGACCGAAACTTCCGGTTCAGGTTCAGATTTTAACATTCACATGAACTTTAACCGGCTTTTGAACCACCAGTTCAGATTCATTTACAGTACGGTTCGATTGCAATTCAAAATGAACCGATAGCCATGACTACCTATAGTATGACTTATTCAAAGACTAACAACTTCTAAAATAACGAGGCATGCGACAAATTATCCTATATTTATGGAACAACCACAACTATTAAAAAAAAAAAAAAATGACGTTGGTGGATTTCCCACCTACAACTGGAATCGAAAGTAATAGAAAATCAAGTCGTTACTCCTACAAAGCTGCTCGTTGAGGAGGGTAGTTATCCAGGATCTCCTACATATTATTAGGAACAAGTAACAACAACAAAAACAAGAGACTGCTGAGACCAAGTCCACAGACCAACTCAATTGAGAAATTCAAGTGATTGTGTTCTTATACAGAAAATATTCTGCTATCAGGTTATCACTACTGAGGTGAAGGTTATTTAAAAGGGATAGATGTCACTGCTATGTAGCCCTCAATGTTATTTCATTCTATTGATCTTCCATATATAAAACATACATATAATTGATTAATTATAACATTAGAGAATTAATAACATATTAAATGGTAATTTATATAGGTTTTAATGATATGAATAAATTTATATTTTTGTATTAATCCTAAAACGAATTAAATTAATGAATTTTACTCATATGACTATTCATTCCTTTTTTTTTTTTTTTTTTTTTTTTTTTTTTTTTTTTTTTTTTTTTTGTCAATCTCTATTTTTTTTTTTTTTTTTTTTTTTTTGTCAATCTCTATATCCACCATTTCTAATTCACTTCTTCAAACACTTATCTACTAATTCTCTCTCTAATATTCAAAAATTATACTGCATTTTTCTACTATTCATTTCTCCTTATTCATATGTTTTATTAGCATAATATTAAGAATTTCACTTGTAAAATCTATCAATAACTGCGGCTTATTAGTTAGTGTGCGTATATATATAAATATTACTCTTTATACTGTTTCATTATATTTATATTTCAAGAGCTTTATGCATTATCTTCTCGTGGGTAGGTGACTTATTAAAGCCTTGTGTTTACTACAACCAATTATGACCTTCATTTAGATTAGAATAAAGGTGAATTTTGGTACTAGATTTGAAATCAAGAAAAAAATAAATTAATTTTTAGACAGTTTGTAGCAGAAACTAGAGATAGAAATAGAGCCAAACCTATATAAATTTGCATTACTTATATCCAAAAAACCTAGTTGAAATTTCAATATCCTCCGCTCATTCCAAACCCGTGGAAAGATTTCTTTTGAAATACGCATAAACAAATCTATTTAAAATTTTAATAATTGCACTCGTATTTAATTGATATTCAAACCACTTTAAATGAATTGGGTGCATAGAATTTCCACAAATATTTACTTTGTTTATATGCATGGTATCTCACTAAGCCAATTACATATAAAGTAAAACTAATTAAAATCATAAAAAAATTAAAATAAGTTTTGAATTCATTAAATATTAAAATTTGTTTGAGTACACAAAGATTTAATGTCATTTGTTCTCCATTTTTATGTTTATAGCTTTTGTAGTAGATTTACCAATATTACCTGCGAAATAGAGTATAACAATTTTTATGGCTGAATACATAAATTGTCTCCTGAATTTTCACAAATTAATTTTATAGCACTTTTTATTTTGCGGGAATTAATTATGCACCTGAATTAAAAAATTTTGCACTAATTAAACCCTTTTCCAAACGGCAACCGCGCGTGTATTACGGGAGCTGGGCAAGAGAAGTAAATGAAAGTGGAACCTAATTTTATTTGCACATCAGCAATTTAAAAATAAAAAAATAAAAAAACTTCAGTTAGTCAACTTTCAACCCATCAACGAGCATAAGTAGAGAAACTCAGAGCAGTTATATTCATGGGTACTCAAAGTCCAAAGCTCACATTTCTTTTATTAATAATCATTCTTGTAGTTTCTTTTCAATATACATTCTTGTAGTTTCTTTTCAATATATATATATATATATATATATATATATATATATATATAATATATATATTCTTGTAGTTAATCAATTTTCAAGTTTTCGCAATGTCCACAAACTGCCAAGCGAAGAACATCGGAAAGCAAAAACCTTTTGTTCCCACTTTCATGGCATTTCTCTACTAAAGTTTGTAAAGGATCGAGCAAAGCTTACAGACTCATCAAACAATTTTTAAAGGACTAAATCCACTTCATAACTGATGATCCTTCAGCAATATCTCAGTGAAAATAAAGATGTCTAATTGAAAACAGAGATTTCTGGGAATACTCTGTTTTTCTTTAATTTTCCTAGGAATGCTCTGTTTCATTAATTACAAACAAAAAAATTAGCTTTACATTTTTATTAGACATTAAAAAGAAAAATAAGACAAAAGATATCAGCTACAAATGTCCATAAAATTCAAAACAAAATATCAATCATGGTCAGCCAAAGCTGTCTCTCTGGATCTCGTTAATGCATCGAGTTCGATTCTGCTGTTGCATTCAATCTCCATCGCCGAGTCCGAAACTCCCGTGATGGATGGGGTTTGTCGGCGACACCACAAAAGGGTTGTGAGTTTTAGAGAGAGAAAGCTTTTGTCAAAGGATAGAAAACAACAAAACCAAAACGCACATTTTTTTACTTTTATGGGGTTTGTCGGCGACCCACAAAAGGGTTGTGAGTTTTAGAGAGAGAAAGCTTTGTCAAGGATAAGAAAACAACAAAACCAACGCCATTTTTTTACTTTTAAAACTGCCTATGTGCAAGTCAGATGGGTCCGTTTTTATGTAATTATCCTAATCAGCTTTTTTTGTATACACGCGTGGTGGTTGCCAGTGTGAGAAAACGTGAAAAGATATTTTATTGGTGTAAAATTTTTTCAGTTCAGTGCACAATTGGTGCCGCAAAATTGGGGGTGACATGGAGTTAATTTGTGAAAGTTAGGGCCATTTCCCCCTTTCTGCTTTCTTAGTCATACCCTTCCTTTTTTTTTTTTTGTTTTCTTTAAAATAGATAGAATTACCCTTGATATTGCTTTTGTTAATTTGGCATCTGATTTGTGAATGCAATTGCTCAAATTAAGATTATGAGAGACCAGTGAGTATTGTAAAAAATAATAATAAAAAGAAAATCTAAAATTTAAAAAAAAATAGGTAAGGATTAGACAAGAACAAATACAGAGAAGGCAAAGAAACTAGAAATAAAACCGTTAATAAATGTAATAAAAGGCAAAGGCATGGCTTAAATGGCCCAAGAGTCCGTAAGTTGAAGTCTGCGTGAGAGTTTCAATTGGAACTTAACATACAAAGCGGTAACAACAATTTAGAGAGAAGGAAGAAGAAGACAGGTTATATTGAGTGAGTTTTTCTATTTTTGAACAATTATTGAAGACAGGATTGACCACAGTAAAATAGAGGGCTGGTGTTACTGAGTTGATACCGTTCGAAGCAAAGGTACTAGATTAGATTTTGTTCCTGGAAATGGTTGGAAGGCAACTATGATTTTATTTTTCTGGAAATAAAAATAAAAATGCTTATACTCACTTAGATATGACAAGATATAGACTAGTTTACTCCTTTTATCTTGACAACAGCCTAGGTCAAGAGTGTCTTTTTATTTTTTGGGAGAAAGGGGGAAGAAGGGTTGGGAGATTTGATTACGTGTTTCAATAAAAGACTCAACAGCTCATCTTTTGACGTTGATTTTCTTGGTGGATGTTTAGTCCTGAAATCAGGACCAATCATCGAGCTTAATAAAATAAACAAATGCGCAGCAACAATAACATACTAAGGAGGAAATAATCATGTAAATTACAAACTACAATAGTGCCATGTAAGCATATAAGAAGACAACTAGAGTCGCCATAGACATTGTCTGTAAAAAATTAAATGACGCAAGTCAACCAAGGCAAACAAAATCTTGTGCTATAACTAGCAAAATAAGTACTTTAATTAGACGATAACAAAAATATAATATTCGTTTTACTCATCATCGTCGTTGAATTTTGTCTTCTTCCCTGCATTGATGCAAAACAAAAAGAGAATTAAAAACAAAATATAATGCAGAACGTAACATAAGAGACAATACTGATAAAAATGTAAAGCAATTTTCTAGTGGAACTTTGATAGATTTTCAGAGACCTTTCTATCCTCAGTAAAGCTTAACTATTCTTCAGGTTAGGAATAGTACAAAAGATTACCTGTTGAGACAGCAGGTTTGTTAGGTGTTCCGCGTCCTCTGCCACGACCACCACCACCTCTTCCACCTCCACCTCTACCACCGAAACGACCACCTCCATCTCTACCACCGAAACGACCACCACTATCTCTACCACCACTTCGCCCGCCACCGCTTCTGCCTCCACCTCTACCACTGCCCCAACCCTCGCGGTTATCACCACCCCTTGGTTTTGCTTCTTCAACTGTTAGGTACTGGTCTCCAAGCTGACTACCGCTAAGCTCTAAAGCTTTGTTGAAAGCTTCGGAATCCTTGAATTCCAAGTATGCCATCCTGCAAAGGAATAGAGTTAGGAGCCTGGGACAAGTTATGACAAAGGCCAATGGTTTAACATCCACTAAACAACCAACAAGGAAAAAAAATAAAAGTGGTGAAGGGAAAGAGTTCCGGAAAGGAAAATTTTAGCATTCCTCTATTTGAATAGGAGGAAAATAAAAATTATTCACCTACTTGTCATCTAAAAACTATAACTTTATCTTCTAGTCAATTTCTTTCCTCCCCATTTTTTCACAATTTCAGTTATTTTATTGTACTTTATATTATCAGCAGATAGCCAATTTGAAACAATAGTGCAAAGTCGTAAATTAAATGAAATTTAAAGCATTTGAAACTTAAAAATAGTCTAGAGAATGCATATTTCGAAGGTCCCAAATCCACATGCAAAAACATTTGAGGCAATAGCATTGCTTTAGACTGAGTGGATCTTGCCTACAGAAAACCATGTATAGATATCAAACGGTGATGATAAGATCAGTTGAGTAAGATGCTCACAGCCCACCTCACATTTAAAACAAAAATACACAGAATAAAATTTGAACTATACTGAAATGAAGCTCACATACATGCTAGACAGTTACAAAAACATGAACCAAAATGATAGATCATTGAAGAGAAAAATAGTAAGACCAGGTCTCACCGTCATCTCGCATATATAAAACAACAGAATCAGTAAAAGAACAAACAAGCATACTAACCCTTTAATTGCTCCACTTTCATAATCAGTTGGGATAGATAATCTTGTAATTTCTCCACAATCTTGAAAATGCTCTTCAAGTGAACTCCTAATCTGTAAAATTTTGAGTACAATGCATAAACATTATCTAAAACCAAAACAATTACTTAAGTTCCAGACAAATAGAAGAGAAAAATACCTCATTTTCACCAAGGAACTTATCAAATCCCCTAACAAAAATTGTTTGACCCTGTCCTCTCCCTCCCTTCTGGGATGAATTGTTCTCTTTACTGCAGAAGTTAACATTAATGAGTAAGGTACAAACCATTGCATCAATTCAACTTGAGTAAGGTACAAAGTGGCTGGCAGAACGCATACCCGCTATATGGTGTATATGGAGCCCTTTCACCCCTTTCACGAGCCAAATCAAGTCTAACTTCCCGGCCATTTAAAGCTTGACCATTCAATTTAAGAGCCTGAAAAGGTAAAAGCAGGGTATTCAAATCATTAGCCATGCCTCCTGAAAACTTTAGTAATGCTAAAATAAAAAAAGCACCAAAGCAATAAAACCAATGGGCAAGTAATAAGCAGTGTGGAGCCTTACATTCTGTGCATCTTGAGGCGTGGCAAATTCAACATGTCCAAAGCCCTTAAACCTCTGATTTTGATCTACAGCAAAGCGTACATCAACAACTTCACCAGCATCCTTAAAAAAATTTTCCCTGCAGAAACAAATTCAGAAAAAAAAAAATTAGCACACATTACTTTTAGAGTTACAGCGGCTCGAATGCTAGATCTAGACATACACATCTGCTTGTTCAACTTGGAAAGACAGGTTTCCAACAAACAATGTCTTTGATCCAGTGGCATCAGGAGTAACTGGAGTTTTGGGCTGCATATTAAAAGACACAAAAATGAATTAAAATTAAAATAATTTTTGGTCCACATGTATAGCCAAGATCCCAAAACTTCAGAACTTACAGCTTTCTTAGCAGTCAAGTCGGCCTTTTTGGTTGGTTTAGGAGTCACAGCATCAACCATCTCCACATCAGTTCCCTGTTATCACATTGAAATTGTGTCAACACTAGATTGGCTTTGAAGTGAATCAACCAGAAGTACAGAGGTCTACATACATCCATATGGAATTTCCATGTTCTACTATGGAGGAAAAAGCAACATATCCACTCAAAAACCAAAGTTAAGGTACAAAAGAAATGCCTCAAAATTCAGTTGGTGCCAAAACAAAGTAATTTACTTTTCAATTTCAGTATAATGCATTTGTCAAATTTTTATGTAGCACCCGTTTCAACTGGAGCACAATCGTGTAAAAGACAACCTTCAAAAGTCATCCTTTTCTTATCTTTGGTCAGTCATCAAAGTTACTTGATTGTTTTATTTACACCATAAAAACATCACACAAGGTCTGAAAGGTCACATCATATATGTTACTATTTTTACCCAAAATATTCTACTTTTAAAACTCAAAACAACAATATAGCTGTGCACATATAATAAAAATGGGTCACTTACATTTTTCTTTGGTTTTTCATCCTCACTTTCTTCCTCATCTGAATCATCACTGGAGCTTTCCTCATCACTGCTGCTCTCCTTTTTATTTACCTTCACCTGAAGCATGTAAATTTTGAAAGTTCACTTAACAGAACAGCAAAATATGATAACAGCAGCATCATAGATTTAAAAGAAAAGAAAATCATTTACCTTTTTATTCTTAGGTGAGTCGTCATCAGTTTCCTCAGACTCAGAACTATCATCTTCACTGTCATCTTTATCAAGGTCCATTTTATGCTGGTTGAAACAAGCAGAAAACATTTAGTATTCATTGCTTTTTGAAAAAAAAATATATATATATTCTCAGAACACCAAGGTTTTATTTGGTATGAATCAAGTATCTGATCAATATTTTAGTCCATGTTTTTCCTTCCCCCAATATGTTATAGCTGAAATTTTTTTTCAACCATTCTCAATACTTTTCACAATCTCAAACAAAACCTGAATTCTAAATTGCATCCAGGATACACTTTATATTCTTTCTGAAAATGAAGTTTGGGGAACAAGCCTGATATTGTTTCCCAAACTGATGTTTCAAACATATGCTTAAAGCACTCAAAAGGACAGCTAAAAGGAAAATAACAATTTATTTCACAGGCTTTAACTTATAAAGCAAAAAAAGCCTAACTATTTCTTTCATGCCATTGTTCTATAAAAGGTGAGAGGCAGAGGGTTACCAACCCATAATTAAACGCAATCAGACCTTAACTAAAAGAGAAAAAGAGGAGGGTGTTAACCTGTTTTGATTCCTTTGTTTGAGCTGCTGCAGAAGATTCCCTTTTGGAACCAACAGCAGCCTTAGCCGCAGGAGCCTGCAAAATCCAAATGAAAAATTTCACAATTCTGTAGTGAAGATGCAAAGGAACGAAGCAATAATTCTATGAAGACTGTCAACAGTCACAGACTGCTATAAACTAATTCTTTGAAATGTGCTAACAACAAACCCATCAGAATCACTCCGTAAAATTCTTCTTTTTTTATGTCTACACTTTCAATGCAGCTACATTAGACTTTTTTGTTGGACCCTTGACAGATCCAAAAAGGAGGGAAAGAAAAGGTAAATGGAGTCCAACAGAAATCCTGTAACCGTATGGATATTGTAATGGAGAAAATTAATTTGCAAAGGTGGATACATCACAATCCACCAGATACATGTAAATCAAAGAAACCAGCAAGAATTGCACCTCATCCTCATCTGAGGATTCATCAGAATCGTCATCTTCAGAACTGTCACTTGATTCAGTCTTTTTATTGGTAGCTGGTACAGCAGACTTCTTGGAGGCAGGAGCCTTTGCAGGAGTATCCTAAGAACATTATACAAAGAGCTATTCAGTTATGTGATACAACTTGATGGTAAATTTAAATTCTTCAAAAAAGAAAAACTTGTGATACTTAAATATGCAATTCCATTCATGTAATATTGGAGCAAAAACAAATGACAATTACACCTGTTCATCAGAATCACTTTCATCAGAGCTATCACTTGATTCTGCATTTTTATTGGCTGCTTCTTGAGGAACAATTTTGGAAGCTAAAGCTTTTACAGTTACCTCCTACATGTCGACAATTTAGTGATGGCCAGTGCACTCTAATTCACCTCAGACAAAGATTTGGATCAAGGAAAAATTGATAATACAAAAAATGACTCCTCCATGCTCAGAACATTTTGTTTATGTATTGAAAATGTGATCATTATGATTTTTTTTGCAACACAAAGTATGGGAACTTGGCTTCAGTCCCACATTGAGACGATGTGGAGTTTACAAGAACTTGAGCACTTTAACCTAAAAATATCTAGCTCTTGAAATATAGTTCTCCAAGATTATACAATTTGGTATCAAAGCCAGCCACTACTCCTTCCAATTGCAATCAAGCAACACAAATGGTGATGCCAGTATTGCAGTGTTTGCTCAAGGCTAGGAAAAACCTTGTGCACAGCATCCAAGTAAGTGCAGCTCTAAGGAGTTTGGTGGGATATTATGATCCTAGTAGCAAGCTGTGAGACTTGATTTATTCCCTCATTGAAAGTATGAGATTTCAAAAGGGGTTTAGCTGATATGGTTCTCCTAATATCATACCATTAAAGGCTATGGTTTGAGATATGATTCTCCCAAGATTATATCATTAATGCGCAAAATATATATATATATATATATATATATATCAAACAACAAACGGTTTCAGGATGAATCAATAGTTCTAAGTGGTAACAAATATGCCAAGTTATTGTCCCTGTTCATTTTTTAAACAGAAAAGGAAAAACTAAAACAGATAGTACTTACAGTTTCCTCATCTGAGGAGCTATCAGACTCTGAAGTATCACTTGACTCATCAGCGCTTTTCTTAGTGCCAGTTGCAGGCAACTTCTTCACTTGGGAGGCTGGCTTTGATGACTTCTTCTGCATTTTAAACATACAGATATTCAAAAATATGACCTCATCATTCAATTAAAAAGTGCCTTCCACAAAAAAACTTCATCTTAAGAACTGCCCAATGAAACTGTTCTTAATGAATTTGCATGATGCAGGAAAATTCACCTCATCCTCTTCAGATTCATCATCTGAATCTGAGTCACTGCCATTGGCATTGCCTTTCTTAGGAGCACCAACAGAGCCATTTTTGGCTTCTACTTGCTCCTTCTTTGGAGGAAGGGAAGCTTTAGTTGCAGGCTCCTAAAAAAATATTAAACCACAAAAAGATTAAAAAGAAAATAATAACCAACAGTCAACTAAAATTTGATTCGATATTCACCTCGTCAGAAGAGGAATCTTCTTCATCACTGCTAGATTCATCAACAGTAGGTTTTGTAGCCTTGACATCCTTAGGAGCACCAATAGAGCCATTTTTGGCATCTACTTGCTGCTTCTTTGGAGGAACGGAAGGCTCCTAAAAAATATTAAACCCCAAAATTAAAAAGAATGAATAACAAACAATCAACGAAAATTTGATTCAATGTTCACCTCATCCGAAGAGGAATCTTCTTCCTCACTGCTAGATTCATCAACAGGTGGTTTTGTAGCCTTGACATCCTTCTTGGTTGCAGGTTTAACCTGATGGTATAAATGGCACCAACACAGTTACAACAAAAAAATTCATCAAAAGATAATAAGAAAAAGTGCAAGCAAGAATGTAATCTTAATTATTTTAGGATATGGCCAGTAAAATCACCTCTTCTTCATCAGTATCATCATCGTCTGAAGATGATGAACTGCTATCTGCCTTCCCTTTAGTAGCAGGAACAGAGCCATTTTTAGCAGCTGTTTGCAGTTTCTTTGATGGAGCAGCTTTAGGGGGAGAGTCCTAAGGAAAATTAATCATATTAAATTAAAACAAAAATGAGAAGATACAACCATCAGCAGGAAATGATCCACTGCTAACCTCTTCATCTGAGGAGGATTCCTCACTACTAGATTCTACAGGTGGTTTTGTTGCCTTTTGGACCTTCTTGGCAACAAATTTAGCCTGCAACAAGTATTCAAAAAACATAATTAACCAAAACAATGTGCTTAAATCCCAACAACTAGAACTCATATCTCGTGAAATTCCAGAATTCCCATAAAAACATGGGACCAATTAACTCAATAATATGAAAAGCTAACAAAATCACTCAATAACAAGGAGAGTAAACATAAAACAGATTAGTACAATTACCTTCTGCTCTTCCTCAGAAGAGGAGTCGTCAGAACTGCTGGATTCCTCTTTCTTCTGTTTCACAGTCTTCACTGCAACTTTTTCCTTCACAACAGACTGTTTTACCCCTTGATCTATCTTCTGTTTCTTTGCACTGACAAGCTTCTCTACAGCTTCTTCAGCTTCTCTTTTACCTAAATCCAAAATTCCCAAACCCAAAAAAAAAATTAACAAAAGATAACAAAAAGTGAAAAATACCCTAAACCAAATCCAAAGCCATTATCCTCTAAGTTCAAACAGCAACATACCTTTCTTCCCAGACTTCGGGGCGGGGGTTACAGCAGCAGCAGCATCAACCTAAAAACACAAACAGAAACAGAAACAAACCGACATAAATCCAAAACCAAGAGCGAATGAGACATAAAACAAAATCAAAATATAAAAGGAACTCACTTTAGGGGTTGATTTCTTGCTAGACTTGCCCATAATTTATAACTGAGAGAATAGGTTGATGCTTTTCTTGGAAAGGAGAAGAGAGCAAGAACAATACTGCGGAGTCTCTCCAAAACCCTAGTTTTAAGGTATTTTTAGTTGTTAGGGTTTTGACAGAGAAAAACGATCTATTAAAATGCGGTGCCAAAGCTGCATATTTATACGCGTGTCGTGGTTGAATTGGGGTTTTAGTTAGGGTTTTAGCCTGCCCGCGAGCGCAGGTTATTGCTCCCTGGATCTACGCCTTATACGTGCCGTTTTGGCTTGGAAAGAGCATCGTTAACATTTATTTTCCTCTTCTTGCTCGGGGAAGAATAATTGGGTGATCAATAATACTCTTAAAAATGGACAAAATATGCTTAAATTTTTTAATTTTGTTAATTGAAAAAATAAATCTTAATTGACTATATTATATATTTCATTAGTAATTTTAATAACTTAAATTAGGATTTTATTTTTCTTTCTAATATGTGCCAAACTTAAAGGTAAAACAATCCAAATTCCTTTAAAATTTATCAATTTTAATTAATTCTAAAATTTGCTTAAAACCTTCTTTTTTATGTTTTATTTTTTGAGCATTTATCTTCACCTTCTTGCTACTATGAGTTGGTTGATCGAGTTCCTCAAGTGAGATAGTCGGCTCAGAGGAAAATCCTGACATCTCTCTTTACATAAAATCTATTTTTTAAAAATCATTTTCATAATGGAAAACTTTTGTAACCACTGATTGTAACCATATGTGTTTTATTAAGATCTGTAATTGCAATAATTCATTATTTATAGATTTAGTTTGAATTTTATAATCTTTTCATACATGTTTGAATTAATTTATATTGTATGGATTTGTTTTAAATGGGTTGGATAGTATTTGGGTAATGCTAATCGAATTTGTGAAGATTTCAATTAATACAAGTTAAATTTGAAACAGGTTCAAGTACCTTATTTTATGAACTAGGTTAGATAGGTCATTTTTCACAGTTACTCAACTTGTTGCTAACACCAATTATTTTAAGTATCCACTTTTGTAGGTTTTAGAGTATTTTCCACCTTCACTTTACTCCTCTCAATCTTCCTCACTTTAATTTTTTTATTTTCTAAATAAATTAAATTTTGAAATACGATATGCAAAATGGATGAGAGATTGGCTAATACATGATGAATGAGCTTGAATTAGAAGAAAATCATTGAGATTGCTTTGGGACTAGACATAAAATTGACAGTCATAACCCTTCAAGTATCATAAGCCAACAATCGAGTTTGACAAGCAAGTTACTTCCTTTTAATGTTACATATTGATTGGTAGAATGACAAGTTAGAATTTGTAACAATAGAAGCATGGTTTTATTTAACTAAAAAATTTTGTGAGTTTGATAATTTCTTGATAGTCATGGAATTAGGCTTGAATTTATTATGTTTGTTTTGTGACTAAAAGAGTAGGTTAGGAAATCATGTTTCTTTTTCATTTGTGATGGTATATTAGCATGTTAAGAATTGAGATTGTTAAAGCTAGAAAAAGTTTGCATGCTACTCAAGATGCAAACTATTATCTAGGAATTTTCTAGTACTCTCTATGTTCTTTCTGCTTTTAGAAAAAACAAAAAAAGCTCTAGGATTAAGAAAGTAGTTAAACAGAAATCTTTACAGCATAATACCCCTGATTAGCTTTAAACATATAATTAATATTGATAAAGTCAACTCATTAATAGAGTATTTCAAGGATACATTTATTAGCCAAAATCTTTGAGAATTGCAAGAGTCTCCTGAACTTCAAATTCAATAGATTTACATCGTTTTAAAAAATAAGGCGCTAATAAGCAGAAATCTATACTTAAACATCATGAACTCACCTTTTTTATACGCTAAGTCCAGAAAGAAGGGCATTGAGTTTGTTCACTATAATAAAAATTTGTGCCCATATTAGTAAGGTGCAGTGTAGATTTAAAGGCAATTTTAAAGGCCGGATACAATAATACGAGTTGGTGACCGTATTATGAAAATTTCCTAAGAAAAATAATTTATATTCATATCTGCATGTGTAAAGTTGAACACACTTCTATAGAACGCGTAAAAACATAGTCCATGAAAGAATTTCAATTCAATTTGTTCAGTAAATTTTAAATTTGTACCCAGATTAATGAGGTATAACATCAACTTAAAGATTTTTTTATCAGTAGGGTGCAACAATTAAAATGTGTAGCTATATTTTGATTAAGTATTTTGTTTATCTGAATACTTAGTCCAAATGATGCCTAAAAGACACCTAATTAGCATTAAATACACACTTAGTGGTGATGAATCCATGTTACCCATGTAGTCTTTCAAGAACACATTTACAAGCGAGATTGTGGTTGAAAATGGAGGAAAGTCGAGATTTTTGGCGCTAAATTCTCTGAAATTTCAAACTTTCTAAAATCAAAGTTTAATGTTTGGAGCCTAAGTTTCCCTCAAATAATCAAACTGGTGGATGTTTTATCCTATATGCGCTTATTTTGACAGAATTTTTGGAGCCAAAAATTTTGAGGAATGTAAGAGTCTCCTTAACTTCTATAATATGGATACATATAAATATCCACACAAATTGAAACATTTCAATACATATAATTACTTAGTTATTTTTGAAAAATCTAGCACAACTAAGAAGGAATCCTAACTTCTAACATTATGAACCAACCTTCTTCAATTAATCTTAATGAATTTCCTACAAACTCTCCCACAATTTCTGAAGAAATGACCACTACCCTTCAACTGCTAGACTTGAACTCCATGCCAGATGAAGAAGGCGTATGCTTGTTCATGACTTGGGCTAATCCCAAATTGATGTTCCAGTCAACAATAACAAAGGAAATAAGAAGAAAAACATATCTGACGAAGTAAAAATCTCTGTAAGCACAATGCTTATGGCTGAGATGAAAGAAAGGATCATAAATGTGGGGAGTTATGAAAAAGTTGCAACCACATTTGACATTTCTATTAGGACAGTTTACAAAATATGGTGAAATGCAAGGTTTCATCGTGAGAAAAATTGCAATGGCATGAAACGTCCCTAGAATAAGGGTAGAAAAGAAGTTGAATATTTGTAGAAAAGATAAAAGAAATCTCACTTAGATGTCGAATGACAATTCGATCTTCGGCTGCTGAACTAGGCGCATCTATTTCATATGTGAACAAAAAGATTAAAAAAATGTGGACATAAGGCCTCACTCCAATGCAATAAAGTCTATGCTAAAAGATGAAAATAAAACTACAAGAATTCATTTTTGCATGTCAATGATCGAATCAGATACAATAAATTGATAGCCATCTTTCAATAACATGTATGATTTAATCCACATCGATGAGAAATGGTTTCACATGTGTAAAGAAACATAAAAGCTTTATATAGTTAGATGAAGAGGAAACTTTGAGCAAATGCAAAAGCAAAATGTTTATTCCAAGAATAATGTTCCTTGCTACTGTTGCACGCCATAGGTTCGATGTTAATTTGAGTCTCTTATTTGATTTCAATATTGTCATATGGCCAATTGTTGACAATGTACTAGCTAAAAGGAATAGTAAGAATCGTTCAACTGGTATAATAGAAATGAAGCCCTTAATATCAATACCAAAAGATGTAATCGTGGCATTCTTATTCATAAACTTTTACCTGCAATATAAGAAAAATAGCCACGGAATGGTGGTCCAGCCACTATTTTCATACAAATAGAAATGAAGCCCTTAATATCAATACCAAAAGATGTAATCGTGGCAATTTCTTTTTCATAAACTTTTACCTGCAATATAAGAAAAATAGGCCACGGAATGGTGTCCAGCACTATTTTCATACAGTAGGACAAGCACCAAGCCATATAATAATCGGGAAGTTGGCGATCTTGAATTTGGCAATAGGGTGCAACTAACCTAGACTGGACATCGTTTCTTATGGTATGCCAGCCACCAAACAATTTGATTTGAAATGTTCTTGACCTTAGGAGTTTTTTTAGAGCCATAGATTTATTAAACACAAAGGAGGACTAAGCACTATGAATGACCTTATTGCTATTGTTTTTAAAAAGCAATATATGTGTTTCCAACCATTTTTCAATGAAACAAGGTTATTTTTCAACTTTGCAGGACTTGCATGGTTGAAAGACATTCTTCGAATGTTTTGGTGCAACCCATTATCGGATTAAAGCAAATGTCCCAAGATAGATGTCAAGGAATGACAACTCTACCAATAACAATTGAGATTGAAACTCAAAATTGTTAAAGAGGCCATTTATCATGTCAACCATCCATATTGCAAGAGAATTTGTATTGAACCTATTTTTATTTAAGAAAAAGTGCATGTTATGTCAATATGTGTATTTTTTAATTTTCACAATAATCTCAATTATATGTTTTTTTTGTGGACACTATCATATAAAAAATTTAGTCTAAAGTGGCAGTAGATTTCTTAACTCAGGTTGACTTCTGTGTGTTAGTAATGTAAATATCTCTGATTTCTAGAACCATTAATTAATCGTATGATAGATTGATTTAGGAGTGTCATTAGGGATTGATACTAATTTCAATGTAATTAGGGGGAAATCTTAAATTGTGAAGTCTTGGATGTGTGAATCATGTATTGCGTTGCATCAGTTTTGGAAATTAACTATTTGTAATTGCATATTAAGTGTTTTTAATTCTTTAAATTGGATTTATTTTTAGCCTTGGTTTGAAAAATGGGGGAGAAATTAATTCGGTTTTTGACCCAATTGATTTTACATTTTAACCTAATGAATTATTTGCATTGGACTATAGGGTTTTAATTTAATTGATTTTAAACTCTTAAATTGAATTAGGATTGACTTATTAAAATTATTTGTTTAAAAATTGTGAAAGAGAATTTTTAATTTTAAAGAAATGAGTTTTAATTGATTTTAAATTAAATAGAAAAGTGATTTTAACCTAAGCTAATTACTTTTATCAAATTTTTGGTTGTTAAATAGTAAAGGGAGTCCCTTTCAAAAAAAAAAAAAAAAAAAAAAAAAGTGAAGGGGGTAATTTAATGGTGGACAAAAAAAAAAAAAAAAAAAAAAAAGTGAAGGGGGTAATTTAAATGGTGGACTCCCTTGTGATTAAGCTTACATGCCACTAGGTTTAGTAACCAATTTATTA